TAAATTTGTTGTTTTTTGTACAGAATGCTTGGTCAGGTGGATTTATAGCTGGAACAAGTATAGGCAACCTGGCAACCTCACTTGTTTGGAAGACAGGCAAATGTGTGAGCGAATTAGATGCTAATATTTCCACATTTTAGGAGTGTTAGCAAATACTTCTTCGTATCAGTTATATATTGTATTACAAGCAAAGTAGTGGAGAATGTTTTTGCAACTAGAATTAAAGGAAAAAATGAAGAAATTGGAGATATTAGGGAACAAAAGGAAGTAATATTTGGATACGCATAGATTTCTTTTATATTTATGCGCATTAATTAATAATAAAGTGTCGGTTTTTTTCAAGTTTGAATACCAAATTCCGACAAAATCTAAAAAATTCAATGTTATGACATACTGTAGACTTTTTGTTGATTAATATCATGTATACAATTATTAAAGCCAACATGATGTTTAATCATATATCCAATATTCCAATTACCCGGTAAATGCATCGATGGAATTTAAAATACTATTTTAATGCAATATTTTGTGATTTTCACACAACGCTGGACTAGGAAACGGTTTATAACTATTTTATATTTGGATGGAGAAAAAGTTATATTTAAAAAGTTAAAAATAAGTGAAGTTTTATTTAACCTTTCATTGTTTTTTTCGACATGACACTTATTGCCTGTAAAATTTACTCGTCCTATTTTATACTAATTTTTCTAAGTCATATTATATAGTATATTTGATAGATAAATTATTTATAATTAATATTTTTATTATTTTCGAATTANGCCAAAACGATAGAGGATATTATATAACAAAAGCGCACAAATGTGCAAATACAAGCAGCCCAAGGCTGAAAAGTGGGAGGACAGGTCATGAGACCGCCTAGAAACCCGGCTAGCAAAAGCTAGAACAGAAACTCAAAACTAAAACAACTAGACACGACCCCCAAGGGGTAATACAACAATACAACTCAAACAACACAACAACAACAACACACGACCCCCACAGGGTAATCTCCGAGTGTCGGACCCCCACAGGGTAATAAATTTGACACCCGGATGCACCGAGGCAACTGCCCAAACCTAAAACACAAACACATATACACCGAGGCCAACGGCCCAAACCAAAACACAAATACAAACACAAGAACAGAAACAGACACAAATCATAATAAAAAAACCTATACTACTAACTAATAAGGCCCTTCCCCAGAGAAAAGCTAAAACCGACCCAAAGCACCAGCGAAAAAGACTAACATCCTACAACTTGACCCAAAATCCGGAACGCCGCTCCCGCCACTGCCTAATGCCTAGCAAGGAACAAGTGCCGAACCTCAAACCAAGCCAAGAATGAAGCCGACCCAAAGCCAGAGGAATATCAACCCGTCCACATGCCAGCAACCCAAGACCCGACCAACACCACTGGCCTAGGTTCGGGCGTACCGGCATCCCAAAACCACAACACCAGCAGAAAGGGGAACAGAGGGCAAGAATCGAAACCCCTCAGCCCCCGGCCGCGGCAACTCAGACCAGCCGAGCCGCCAGGGCCGCACCCAAAACCCGAACCACGCACCTCCTGCAGCAATCGGACCCAAACCGGAGGAGAAGCCGTCAAACCCGCCATCGACCACCATCCCAAGACAGAGCCGACAGTAGAAAGCTGGAAAATCACCGTCGGGGCCGAGAAACGTACCCAAATCGAAAGTGGAGCCGTGGAACCCGTCGTCTGAAGCCGAACATAGACGGAATCGACAAAGAGATCTCGAGAACCTACCTGCGACGGCGGCGATCTCCAGTAGAACAGCCCCGGCCGACGAAACTGAAATCATCTCCGAAGGGCGAGAACCGTGAAGGAAACGCACAAATCAGGCCATGGGAGTGCTGCTACGGGTCATCCACCGGCCGAAGGCCGGCTGTTCGCCGGGGAAGGCAAGGAATTGACAGCGGCGAGAGAAAGATTTGGGGGAGAAGGGTTATAGAGAGAGAAAATGTGGACGGCCCTTTTGAAAATTTGTTTTTAAGATATCAAAATATGATTACTTTGATATATCATATTTAAAAAATAGATAACAAATTGAAAAGTTAATAAATATATTTATAATTTAAATTGATAGTGAGTTTATAATTTTAAAAGTCTTAAAATAGACATGAATAAAATTTAATTCAAATCTAACCACTCCCAAACATCATACTTTGACAAATAAAATTACGAAACATGAAAAATTGACGACACCTGAAATTACAATTCACAACGAAAGTTAAAAAAAAATTCTATATATATTTATAGAAAATTGGTACTTGAATATAGACAAAACTTTAATAATTCAGCCGACACATTTCGGGTGGTTTATATATATAAAAAACAAAAAGATCAAGTGAACAAAAACAAAATATGAACAAAACTCAAAAGCCCGTATTCTCATAATACGTTTTTTTTTAAACTTAAAAAAAAAACGTATTCTCGTAATACATTATAAAATTATATTTGCAATATAAAACGTATTATCAGAATACGAGCTTTTAATTTTTGTCCATATTTTTAATTTTCTTTTTTTAATTTTTTTTTTTGGTTGGGGTAAAAAAATTGACACATTTGGCTCCCCCACAAAATAAATGAAAATGCTACCAAGTACCAAGAACATATGTCCATGAATATAAATGTAACTATAACTAGTAATAAATTCCTTTGTTGGCATATACCATATCTAAAAACTGAGAACAGGATAACGACGCCCTTTTACCGATGTTTGGTGAAAACTGAAAAGAGAAGAAAAATATCGAGGAATTAATGACTAAAGCTTTATTTGGTGGATAGACAATGACAAGGACACGCAACTTAGTTGAGCTGCCAAAAAGCGTGAAGCCTTTTTCCTTGTCCCAAACGGCCCCTAACCCCACTTTTGTAGTTTTGTGTATATCCCCAGAATCCTCTTCTCTACTTATATAATACTCTTTATCATTCATTCCACGAGCCTTTCGTCCTGTCTTCTTACGACGAGTCGCACTCTTTTCTTTCTCTTATCTTCTCAGTGTCTGCTGATTGCCTTTGCTGACCGGATATTATTCGCCTATGCACTACGTCGTTTGCTACTTCTGATCCGAACCTCAGTTTCTCAGGTAATTAATATGTTTGTTTCAAATCTTAGCATTTTCAAGTTTGTCTTCCCTTTTGTGTTGTATATTTTTCAGATGGATGTAACGAGTGAGTGTTGATGGACTGTCTTGTCGTTTTCTGATTGAGCAGTCGAAGACAAGAGGAGTGTTTATATTGAATCCACCAAGTTTGCGGTTACAAATGGCGTTGGAAGAGGATAATTTGAAGAAGAAAATAACTATTGGAGTCTGTGTAATGGAAAAGAAGGTGAAGTGCGGCTCCGAGGTTTTTGTTCTTTTTGTCTTCAGTTTTTCTACCTCAGGCCACCGTGCATCATTAGCTGAAACACCATGGATGCTGCTGATTCTCGTTAACTTGTGATTTATATTTTATTTTGGGTTTGGCTTGGCTCGTTCAGGCCTTTTCAGGACCCATGTTGCAGATTTTAGAGAGATTACAGGCGTTTGGAGAATTTGAGGTGATTAGCTGGTTGCCAGTTTTTCTAAATCCTGCAAGCCTTTGCACGGCAATGTTATGTTGTTGACATGTTTACAGCTAGCAGTGTAGCGAGTTACTGGTTCTGCTATCATTTTGTGTAATCGTTGAAATTTTATTTTGAACGGTGCAGATAGTTCATTTTGGTGATAAAGTGATCCTTGAAGATCCTATTGAGAGGTGAAGTTTGGAATCAGAGTTTAATATTGACGTACCTTTTCATTATGATGTTCAGTTGCCAGTTTTTCAGTAGTGTACGGTACTGGAGCCAATGCCACGAATTTGAGTTATTTAACCTGTGGACTAATGGCAGAACATGAATGATAGTCTACTTCAGTAATATATTTGAGTTATTTTAACTGCAGCTGGCCTATATGCGAATGCCTGATCGCCTTCTATTCATCTGGCTATCCTCTGCAGAGGGCTGAAGCTTATGCTGCGCTTAGGAAGTAAGTATACATCTGGTTATACTTAGTATTTGCATCTATATATGTCTTTTTTGGTCTTTTTACATTTTGCGAACCACTTTGGCATACCCGTAGATTGAGTTCTATTCCCTTGTCATGGTGCCATGATCACATCATTATGTGTGTTAAATCCTCCATCCTCGCCATCATAATCATCATCTTATTATTTTCTTCTGACAAGTAATCTTAGTCTACCATTTGGTAGTGACAATTTCAGAGGAAGCCTCAAAGTTTTAACTCCTGAGGGGAAAAAAAGAAGAAAAGAGAAAAAGAAGAAAGAAAGAACATAAATAAAAACGAAAGAAAACTGTTAGAATCAAAATCAAACTACTTCATTCTGTGGATGTTGTCTGCACAGTGAAACTCATTAACGAGAATGCATTAATGAACTGTTCAGATATTTGATTCCAATAATTTATGTGGTGGGCTTTGGCTCAACCATTTTTTGGGTACTGCAAGATGAGATTTTGAGGGGGAAGAGGGAGAGACATTTTTATGTATGAATTTTCATGGGATAGGTGAAGCAGGTAGATGGAACAGTCATAAAAGGACAACTGTTGGAGAACAAAGTTGAGGTGTAGGGTTTCTGGAAGCTGAGGTTTCATAACTCTTTAACTAGGTTTTGGGAAAAGTGCATATGTCGTCTTGCAAGGACACCTTTCTCCTAATATTGATGTCATTTCAAATCTTAACATCAGATGGACTTGTTTTGCGATGCAGTCCTTGCTTTTCAGTTAAAAAATCACTTGTCCACTTTGTCATTTTATTTTGTATAGGCCTTTCCTCGTAAATGAATTGGGACAACAACGTCTTCTTCATGATCGGAGAAAAGTTTACGAGGTTTGCATTTTGTACTTCATGTAGAAAAATTTAATGTACATATGTTTTGTCGGTATTACCATATACTGCCTTTTGTTTCGCTAGGACTATGAGCACTCCAAAGAAGATATTGCTGAAGAATTAAAGCGAATAAATGAAATTTATGAAGTTTGAGCATATAGATAATTTGGTCACTTTCCTTGTTCTTACTTATATTCCAGCAACTTGGACTTTCTATTATTAGAAACTATTATTTCAAGAAAGTTCATGAACTATCTTCTAACAAAATGTANCCGAATTTCTATCCATTTTTCCTGTTGCTTTCTTGGCCTCGACTTCTCAATTACCTATCAGGATGTATTCTGATTTGATGGATATAGTTTATATGCAACAGTTTGCTAAATTTATTCTGTTCATCTTGACATAATATCATTAATCAATTGCTTTTCTGGCACTGGCCTTTTTGTTATCAAATGAGATTCAGGATTCCTTGCCATTTGTAACATATGCTCATTTGTAATTGCATGTATGTGTGTTTGTGGGCGTTGATATTAAAACTTAGCATTTTTCCTTACTTACTGCTCTTTTTGGATGGAGTATTATAAAATGCTGGATGGGTCAATATTTGTTACTATGCAGCGGCTTGAAATGTTTGGTATCCCTGTTCCAAGATACGCATTAGTTAACAGGGAATTTCCAAGTCAAGATCTGGATTATTTTGTCGAGGAAGAAGATTTCGTTGAGGTCCATGGGAATCGATTCTGGAAGCCTTTTGTGGAGAAGCCTGTTGATGGTAAATATCAAGTATTGGTTATATGAGTTAAATCATTTGTGCTTTTAGTAGTTGATCCTGATCAGCAAAGTTGAGTCAACGTGAAGCTGTTAGCCTTAAAGTTTCACTTGCTATTTGGTGACATTATTTCTAAGTGCACTCTTCATACATTTTACTCTGGAGTCTGGAATACCTGCCAATTTCCATCTTCTGTTATTTTGAAGGCGATGATCACAGTATAATGATATATTACCCCAGTTCAGCTGGTGGGGGAATGAAGGAGTTGTTCCGCAAGGTGAGATTCTTGTCCAAGATGTGTGCTTTCATTTCTTCGTAGACTGGTGCTATGCATCCATACATCTACTGTTCCACAACAATATACATTAGCCACTTAGGGCAGTAAGTCTACTAGTGTCTTGTGAAGGGTTGTGAATAAATTAACACACCGCTCCTTCGGAAGCAGTGAGTTCTCTAGATGTATCCTTTCCCAGGCAAAGTTTTAGATTTTATCCTTTGATTGTCAGAATTGTGAATTAAATTAGCCCACAGCTCCCTTGAAAACAAGTGAGTTTTCTAGATGTATCTTTTTCCTGGAAATTTTTTAGATTTTATCCTGTGATTTTTTCATGTTCGGTTGAATTGCTTTTCTGAACATATAGGTCAAGGTAGCATGCTAACTCATTTTATCCTACTACCTTCCGAGTAATAGGTGTTAAGCAGTACTGTTTTGTTGCATGAAGAAACTCATGGATGTAGGTTTAGCTTTTGGTAGGTGGTTTTATCTATGCTTGGTATGGTTGCATTATAATTTACCCTTTCAAATAGAGTCTAATAGATTTCCTCTCAGAAAAACTACAAGGTCTTTGCTCAATGAGCACTGTATGTCAACATCCTTGAAATTTCTTATAACTATGTACTGTGACTTTTTAGGACAATTTTCCTTTTGCATATGTTATATTGTTGTTTGATTCAAATAACTTGAATCAGTTGACATGTTATGAAAAATAGTTTCATTGTTGATAATACATTCTGAAATAGATTATAACAGAATTATCATATCTTGGTCTATGCCTTGTACAAAAACTGCGCCCGTTTTATTGCTATAGCATCCATTCCTGATCAGAAATGTTCCTTAGTTTGTTTATCCTCTTGTGTCATGATAATTTTTAAGTTGAACTTGGTTATATTTTCAGGTTGGTAATCGCTCAAGTGAATTTCACCCAGAGGTCAGAAGAGTGAGGCGTGAGGGGTCTTACATATATGAGGAATTTATGCCTACTGGGGGAACAGATGTGAAGGTTGTTTGCCCTGTCCTTTGTAATATACTAATATCCAGTGAATAAGTCCTAGAAATTCCTGATATAGTATATCCCAAAAGATATGGAAGATTTTGTTTTATGATTGTTATCTTTAACACTCAAAGAACTGTGGGAATTTTATGATTATCCACTTGTTTTCTCCTCCCCATGAACCTCTATTCTTTCTACCCTGAAAATGGAAAATATAAATCACATAAAAATGTTGAGAAGAAATCGTCGTTTAGACTTTTTGTACACTTGGTATTGTTATCTTGATTCCATTTATAAAACTACAAGGGTATTGTCTAAATTTGATACTTACTTTCTATTGTAGGTTTATACTGTGGGCCCTGAGTACGCTCATGCAGAGGCAAGGAAGTCCCCTGTAGTTGATGGTGTTGTTATGAGAAATCCTGATGGTAAAGAAGTAGGTATTTTAGATCCTTGGTAACCGTTTCATGCATTTGAAGTTCCATTCCAGTTTTCTGAAATTGATGAACATAGCGAATCATGATTTTTATGTTGTTTCTGCTTAAATTTTATGTATCTAAATTGTGCAGTCCTCATCTTGTGAATGTAATAATAACTATCTTTTACCTCCAGTCTCTGCATCTTGATTTTCATGCATCTCATCTTGTGAATGTAATAATAACTATCTTATCAAAACTTAATTTTAGACGTGTGGTGTGTTTTAAGTTCTTTCTTGACAACGGACCAAAGGTTCAAAGTTCTGATATCCTTTGCCACATCGAGTTGCTCATTGGTGAATCAATATCTTTGATTAAATATTGGCTTTTAGAGTTGTTTTTGTAACTTTCCAGGTCAGATATCCTGTCCTTCTTACTCCTGCAGAGAAGCAAATGGCAAGAGAAGTTTGCATTGCATTTAGACAAGCTGTAAGTCAATACTTTCAAGGTGTATTTCTTATTGGAATGTCATTTATTCGTTTTTATTTAAACTTCTATCATGATAATAGTTGAAACAACGGCTTCCAGTAACTGTTTATTTTGCCTCCTTCTCCACCTCCTGTGCCCTCTTTGTCACCATATTCTTCATGAATTTTGGAAAATCTTTCAGATTTTCATGAATCAAGATGGTCTTAAAGTGAGATTTGTAGCCAAAACTATCTTGCGGAACTGGATTATGTGAATGCAAACTTTTTTGTTGGGTCTAGTTGTATTATGCAAGTTTCTATACCACTTGGTTCCATCCATCATGAGAAATTTTTATTAACATTTTAAACTATTTCGTTTTATATTTCAGGTCTGTGGATTTGATCTATTGCGTTGTGAGGGACGATCCTATGTGTGTGATGTCAATGGATGGAGCTTCGTCAAGAACTCTTACAAGTACTCTTTCTTGTTGCTGATCTTGTTTTTCTTCATTGTTCTATTTCATAAGGGCTTGTCACATGAATATAACTAGGACATTCTAATAATATTTTTGGACCTGGTCCAATAAAGAAAATTACACTCCATCTCTTGTTTGGTCTTTTGGACTGGAGATCATATAGCAGCTTTTTACTAACTAATGGCTTTGCTTTGCAAGCATCAATCAATCCAAGAGTTCTGCATAAACTCTTATATTTCTCATTCACGTTTTCTTCCATTTTTCCTTTTCTTCTTTTTGTCCTCATGAATGTTGATTATTCCTGCTAAATGCAGATATTATGATGATGCTGCATGTGTATTGAGGAAGATGTTTCTTGATGCAAAAGCCCCACATCTCTCTTCAACAATTCCTCCAACTCTGCCATGGAAAGTAGAGCCAGTTCAGCAGTGTGAAGGACTAACACGGCAGGGAAGTGGGATAATTGGGACATTCGGGCAGTCCGAAGAGCTACGTTGTGTAATTGCCATCATTCGTCAGTAAGATGTTTCACCTTGATTAATGCTTCAATGTAATTTTGCTTGGAGTTTCTGACTTGAGGTACTATTCTTTGCTTGACAGTGGTGACAGAACTCCAAAGCAGAAAGTCAAGTTGAAAGTCACTGAAGAAAAACTTTTAAATTTGATGTTAAAATATAATGGAGGAAGGCCTAGGGCAGAGGTGCTTAATTATTCTCTTTGTCTCTAGTGTTATTTTCAGCATCATGCACTAGTATTGTAACTTTCTTTGATGCTTCTTCAGACAAAGCTTAAAAGTGCAGTTCAGTTGCAAGATCTTTTGGATGCAACACGAATTTTAGTTCCTCGTGCTAGGTGAGTTCTTTAATTGAGTTCCATAGACCAACTTACTAGTGAAGTATGATGTTCATCATTGTCACTCATCATGTGCTTACCTCTTAAACTTACGTTCCTGAAGGGAATATGACTTAGCAAGGTCACTATTTATTAATGATTATATCTATCATCCAGACATGGTCGAGAAAGCGATAGTGAGGCTGAGGACATTGAGCATGCTGAAAAGCTTCGCCAAGTGAAAGCTGTACTCGAGGAGGTTCGTCTAAATAATAGTTTTCCGTTGTTAATACAAAGTTATTGAGTTTTCTATTTGACCAACTTTAGATGTTAGGACATTGTAGTAGGTTCATTTTTGGAAAGACGTATTCAGCAGAAACCTCTCTGTGGCTCTCTCTCTCTCTCTCACACACACACACACGCGCGCGTGCACGCGTGCGTCCGCCTAGATTCCCGTTACAGAATTTCAACACACACCCATGGTACAAAGCAAACAACTGAATCTTGAACTATTTTGTGTCCAGGGGGGGCATTTCTCCGGCATATATAGAAAGGTCCAACTTAAGCCGTTAAAGTGGGTCAAGGTTCCCAAAGCAAATGGTGAAGGAGAAGATGAACGACCTACTGAGGCACTGATGGTTCTTAAGTATGGTGGTGTTCTTACTCATGCTGGCAGAAAACAGGTTACAATTGTTGCATCATGCATGTTCTCTCTCTCTCTCTCTCTATATATATATGGGTTATCAGAAGATGAAACATATCAGTAATCTTGTGTACCATGAGAGATTAATATGTCTGAATAGCTTGTTCAAACAAACCATTTATATGCTCATCATCGTTTTCGACAGGCTGAAGAACTGGGTAGATATTTTCGGAATAATATGTATCCAGGTTAGCAACTAGCTCTTATGATCTCCAATTGTGAATTTGCTGTTTGACCTGGCATTTTATCATGCAAATCGTCTATGGGTGCATAGTTTACACTTGAACTTGGGAAATCATGATCCTTTTATTCTTTTTAATGATATTCGGAGCCATTTCTGCGTGAGGATGCTATTTTGAATTCCTGAAGTTCTTGGTACTGTCTGTTTTAGGAGAAGGTACTGGCCTCCTTCGTCTGCACAGTACATATCGTCATGATCTGAAAATATATAGCTCAGATGAAGGCCGTGTACAGGTACACTTTGATTTATAGTATATTTTAGAGGGTCTTGTTATATTCTCTTTCTTTTTAATTGGTACAAAGATGCACTCACCCAGGATTCTTGTTTTAGATTCAACATTGACATGGTGACTTAACACATTTAACTTATCTGTATACTAAGTCAGATGTCAGCAGCTGCTTTTGCTAAGGGTCTTCTCGACTTGGAAGGACAATTGACACCTATTCTTGTAAGTATATTATATATGCTGGTGCTTAATTTTACTTCAGGATGAGTGAACAATCTTGTGTTCTTTTATGTATTCGAGGTTTCACTTGTCAGCAAGGACTCCTCAATGTTGGATGGACTTGACAATGCCAGTGCTGAAATAAAAGAAGCCAAGGTTTGTCTTGCTAGCTACCATCTTCATTTGAAATGACATTAGGAGGTACGGGGGCATGGTTGAAAAAACAGATGAGTTTAATATAATCTTGCCTTAAATAAATAGCTCCATTTACTTGTTTGGGTGAAGCTATACTCATAGCCGATCTCAGTGAAACTGTGCACTTTAAAAAACTTCAATCCATTTCTCATCAAGCGTTCCACTTTAGTTGTTTTTTCCATGTAATTAAGTTCTTTATTTAATTCTGCTTTTGTATTTTATTGGATCGACCAAAAGTAATATAAGTAACTTGGAGTTGCTTTCGAAAATAACTCACTAATTGAATTATTAACCACCTTGATCTGGTTTATGGAATTTCAAGAATTTATGTTTTACTTAATCAACCTCTTGGTGTTGGATGCTGCATAAAATTTTCCAACTAATTTATTTTCCTTAATTAATATGTAACCATGCTGTATTCCTGATTGAGGCCCTCCACAGAGTTTATAAGATGTAAGTTTTAATAGTTCTTTCTCCCGTCTGTCATAGTTTACGTTGGTAAAACGTTTTCCCCTACGCGTGTTCCATAGAAAGGTCTCTTCCAGTGGTGGTGCATTACTCAATCTAATTCACTCTGTCCACGGATAAGAAGCTTTGGTGTGTATACATAAGTAAGAGAAGCCTAAAGATGAACTGTTATCTATCTACATAGACCATAAATCCATATATACCTTTCACCTTGTAAAAGTCCCTTGTACGGTCTTCATAAATTTCTTGAGAAATGCTTCTTATATAATATCAACCGACTTACGAGCCTCAACAGCCTTCCGATTTGATTGAAGTACATGGTTCGTGAGCATAAAGTCTACTTTCAGATTTGAAATTCCAGTCCTTGAATATCGAATATTGAAATTAATAAAATAAACTGTGTTGGAATTATGTCCATCTAATCAATCTCATTTGCTGTTATTCTGTCCCAGGCCAGGTTGAATGAGATTATAACTTCTGGAATTAAAGCTGTTCAGAGTAGTGGCTTACTGGAAAAGCCCTGGATGGCTGATGGAGCTGGGCTACCTCCAAATGCCTCTGACTTATTACCCAAATTGGTAAAAAAAAGCCGATATCCACTGCATAGAATTAGTTCCTTAATTTGTATTTGATGTTTTCACATTATTTAGTATGTTATCTGATTTTACACAAACATATAAATGATGGTTAGTACTCTCATTATGATTGCTGTTAGGTAAAGCTAACCAAGAAGGTTACTGAGCAAGTAAGACTTCTTGCTAAGGATGAAGATGAGGAGCTTGTTGAGGCAAGTGCATATGATGTAATTCCTCCATATGACCAAGCGAAGGCGCTTGGTAAAACAAATATAGATGTTGACCGGATAGCTGCAGGGCTACCTTGCGGTAGTGAAGGATTTCTTCTCATGTTTGCTCGCTGGAGAAAACTTGAGAGAGATTTGTATAATGAACGTAAAGAGTAAGCCTCGTCTGACCATCTCCCCTGTTGTCATTCTATTTTGTTTTTACATTAATAAATTATCTTCAGTAGTCCTTTTTTATTGAGGTCAGCTAACTCGCAGTAGAAAGTTTAACTAACTTTCACAGTCCGAACATAATTGCAGGCGGTTCGATATAACACAAATTCCTGATGTTTATGACTCTTGCAAGTAAGAAGCATTATTCCATTTTTGGTATTATGTAGTTATATGTTGTTGAGATTTATCCATGCCCATCTTACTTTCTCCAGGAATAATTGACCATTTTTCTTGTGATGATGTGCTAAAGTTTCTTTCAAGATTCACTGATATAAGCAATTGATATTCTGTTTTGGGAACCTGCAAGATATTCAGTTCTTATTCTTCCTTGTTCTGCATTACTTCCAACAGATATGATCTCCTGCACAATGCACATCTAAAACTAGAAGGATTGGATGAACTATTCCAAGTTGCTCAGGTAACAATTTACAATGTTTGTAATGTGTGTTGTTTTTTCAGGTTCATTCCCCCAACCCCAACACACACACACAAAATCTAAATATTTAAATTTCAATAATTAAAGCTTCATAGGAAAAAATAAAAGAGAGATCTCTTCTTTTTGCTTCAGATAAAAGAATGTGGTTACTAATGTGCTATCTTTTATGGTCTCGTGTCTCTACAGTTACTTGCAGATGGTGTAATCCCAAACGAGTATGGAATCAATCCAATGCAGAAATTAAAAATTGGATCGAAGGTGTATTTTTGCTATTTTTTTCAACTTTAGAATATATTTCCTACTTCCCCTTTAAAAATTACTTAAATATAACTTTAAAAAGACTGCTGCAGAAAATAAATGAAAAAGTTACACAAGTGCACAGAGATGTAACTTTTCACAAATTTCTGTAATAATACCAATTATTCTTCATGTATGGAACTTAATATCAGATTGCCCGGCGCGTGTTGGGGAAAATCTTAATTGATCTGAGAAATACACGAGAAGAAGCTATCAGTGTTGCGGAATTGAAGAGCAATCAAGACAATAATTCATCAGTCTCTAATACTGGAAAAGAAGATGCAGATTACCAATCAAAGTCTCATAGTAAGATTGAAGGCTTAAGAAGAGCTAGTTTTACCAGTGATATGTCAATGGACCAAGATGATGACGATGATAAAGAAACTAAATACCGTTTAGACCCCAAGTAAGTATGACGATATTTCTTCGAAAACCACAACCTCACACTCTCCTTACTGTTCATGTTGATTGTTATGATTAAAGTGAGCGAGAGAGAGAGAGAGAGAGAGAGAGAGAGCGAAAGAGTTTCTTTTTATTTCCATAACTTTTACTTCTTTGATCTCATCAGATATGCGAACGTGAAAACACCAGAGCGTCACGTGCGGACACGGCTGTACTTCACTTCAGTGAGTAAAACACTTCCATTATTTGTATTTTATTTTCCAATGACTGTGTTTCCTGCATTTTTCTTTAAATATGAGTCATTCCTCCACTGCTTCATTAGTACTTCCTTCTCAATATATGGACTAATATCCTAATGCTAATGCTAAAAAAAAAAAAAAAATTCCAAATTAGATATGCAAAGATGAATTGTGGCGGAACACCATAAGCAACTACCCAAATCTGAACATGTTATTCTACCACTTGATCAGTTAATTTTTTGAATAGTCTTCTATCCAGTAAGTTTGTTTGGAATGAGCCTTTATGCCTATCGATGAGAAATTTTATGGAGTGCCATTGTTATGGACTTTTAAAAGAAATTATTACCAATTTATCAAGAAATTGTGGTACATCACCCTCATGTAGGATTTTCTTCATGTAAAGAGTATATTTCATCATACCTACTGATAAATATAGTTAACTGAAATTTGCAAGAATACGTCCAGTTTCACACTTGAATTTTGCCTGATTGGTATGAAGTGTAACAGTGAGACTTCAAGTAGAATACTTGGAGGATATCTTCATGGTTTAATTGGGATACAGACGCATTATCTCTGTTGCAGAGAGACATGACATTTACTGAACTTGATCCATTTGATGCATTTGGGCGTCCAAATAACTATCCCTGTACTTCCAAATTTTGTTAAAAAATTTCACAATTAACGTAACGTTTTTATTGTTCTGAAATAACAGGAATCCCATATCCATTCATTGATGAATGTTCTTCGCTATTGCAACCTGGATGAATCTCTTCAAGAAGAACCGAGCCTTGTTAGTGATAATGGCTTAGAGAGATTGTACAACACAAAGGAGCTTGATTACATGAGTTACATTGTCTTGAGGTTGTTTGAGAACACCGAGGTTCGTGCTTACTTTTTTGTCAAACTCTGTCAATCTCATAAGCATTCAAATTTCACCTGATATATTGAAATTAAGGTATATTTTATGATTGAGCCGTGAGCTTTCTTTTGTGTTGAGTGATAATGGTCTGATTGGAGAATTATCTCAAATTGAAACCAGGTCGCGTTGGAAGATCCAAAGAGATTCCGCATAGAGATGACATTCAGCCGAGGTGCTGATTTATCACCATTAGAGGTAACCTTTAACTGGAACATGAATTTACTCTTTTGGCCTTTTGACCAACCGAAGCCTTTTTGTTTTTCGTATAATGAATGCATGGGCTGTATACGGTTCGTGATACCTTATGGTAAATATGGAGTGATTTCATTTGGTGAAAAAACCATTGATATCAAGCAATTCAGTAATCTATTTTCTTGTGTTAATTACAGAAAAGTCCTCCAAATTAATGTACTTCCAGAATATTGCAGTTGCATTTCAATAGTTTCATTATAGGTTAATAGTTGTCTCAATTTTCAAGATAGAACCATCAAATTAATTTGGTAAATGCACACTCCGAGGTTATACTTCCAAAGGAAAATATATTTCCGTTTTCTTTTTGACGATTTATATTGAAGTCACAATACTTTTGTAATCGTAAATGTTCCCTGCCTTTCTAATCAATGTTTCGCTTAAAAATTGAGAGTGATTCAATATGCAATTTACATTTAGTAAATTTTTTCTTTCTTTTTTCTTATTTCAATTTTCTTTATCTAAGTTGATTCCACATAAACAATTTACATTTAGTAGGTTTTTTTCTTTTTTTTTTTAATATGCTTTCTTTTACAAAAAAATGATAGATAATTGATAACGAGGTAGCTTCATTACGCCAAGAGCACACATTGCCAATCATGGGTCCTGAAAGACTGCAGGAAGTCGGGTCATATTTGACTCTAGAGACGATGGAGAAGATGATTCGTCCATTTGCGATGCCAGCTGAAGACTTCCCTCCCCCTGCAGTCCCTCAAGGATTCTCGGGCTATTTTTCGAAAAGTGCAGCTGTGTTAGAACGCCTTGTCAATCTCTGGCCTTTTCACAAGCACGGGAACACTAACGGTAAGTAATGAAGAGTTTGGTTTTGGATGGCTCACTTAGTTGGTAAGTTACTCACTAGTTCAGAGTACCAAACTGAAAAGTTTTTTGTAAGTGACCAATGAGATATTGCTGAATTTTGATGTGCTTGCCGAAATTGCCATTTTTTTTTTTTTTTTTTTTTTNTTTTTTTTTTTTTTTTTTTTTTAATAGTTTTACTGGTTATAATATAGTAACTACAATGTTGATACAAAACAAAGGTCTTTTCGTTCCTTTTCCACCCGCTTTATTCATTTTTTGTTGTTTTCTTGTTTGTTTTCTTGATTAATATGGCTGAATAGATTTCGTACGAACAGTCTCCATTTCTGTAATGGAGACAAAGTGCAAATCTTCCGACTTGGTTTACGTTTATGCAGTCAAGTGTCATTGATCTTTCTCGAATTTTGGAATGAAATGAAATGAAAACGGACTAATGGAGGATGTTCCTTGTTTTTGCGCACTTCACGGGGTGTTCATCGGATCTGCTACCCTACCCATGGTGCTCCCCTACTCATGGTGGGCAGGGAATTAATATGCTCACCGCTTATGTGGCATGTACACATTGGGCATATTAATTCTCTCCCACTGCTTATGCCCAATGTGTACATGCCACATAAGCAGTGGGTATATTAATTCTCTGTCTACCGTGAGTAGGGGAGCAGATTCTGGGTGTTCATTTGGTACTTTTAAGATTTGTTACTATCTTAAGAATTTGGTGTGTTGAATTTGAACTTTTTAAAATTTTTAAAAGTCTCGAGGTATTCACTGAAATTTCAAAAAGTCCTAACAAGTCTCGAGATATTTAACTTATTTGATATTGCGATTTACCAAGACTTTTTAAGTTTGGTTGAGAATTTATAAACAAAAATCTTGTATAAAATTTCACTTAAAGTTTTTACTTCCATACTTAAGATTTTCAAGATTTCTCTTAAATTTTAAAATCAAGTCTTGTTTTCAAAGTCTCAAAATGTGTTTAAAATTCTAAAAGAATATATCCTCCTTATTAATGTTAAGGATACCTCAAAAGATGTATCGCAATTTGTTGCTTGTCATTTTTTTTTTTTTTGGAACGATAGAATTCATAGATAAAAACACATATGTACATGCTAGAAAACAGCTATTCAACTGAATAAACTAGCTAGTAAGTTGAATCGAGTTGAGAGACCTACATGAAATGTAGCCTAGAGCGAATCTAACAACAAACAAAACATAAACACAAAGAACTACAAACAATTTCCCACAAGTGGAGAATAAAAAACTCTCAATCAGGAAAATAAATGACCAACTAACCAAAAACATAAACCTAAAACACACAGAAAACACAATAACAATTTAAAACATAATAAACTAACGTCCTCCTAACCAGACGGACCTAGGGCCAAAACTACCCAAGCAAATAACTAAACACGAAAATCTAGAGGAAGCCACGATAGTTGCAACCTAGCACAGAACAGGACCGCACAATCGACAACTGCCCCCAGATCTTCGCAAATCCACCCAGGTCGGTCCACTTCATAGCCCCCCCACGCATACTCCGTAGCTGCCTCGCAACCGCGCCACAGCCACTAAAGGACCGCCTCTTCCCAACACCAGAGAAGGCCGGAGAAGGGGAACCAAGGCTAGACCATCGTTCCAAACCGTCGCTAGGACAACCGCGCCGACCGCCGAAACACTGCTGCCGACGTTTTTCGCCCCTCTTCGCCCGCCATGGCACTCGAAAGCGAGCGGGACCACTATAGGAATGGAGGAACGTGAAACCGCCCCAGCCGCACCGCCGAGCCCAAGGCGAGCCAATTGCTTGCCGGGATTACAAGGCTAGGTCCGCCGAAGGGGAGGCACTCCCGCAGTCGCAAATTTTTTTGAAAAAAAAAAATGTTTTTTATTAATACATGTGGTCCAATATGCTTATTTGTAATTTGTTCCTTGTTATGTGAAGATTAGCGTACGTTAAAATCGGGAAATTGTCTAAATTTTGCACAACATTCATAAATCGAGAAATGGTCTAAATTCGTTCCTTATTATGTGAATTTACTATTGTATCCAATCACTGTAGTATATTTCTTCATATTTTTTACTTTAATTTTCTATTCTTCGTAACAATGCAGATGCATAAACCTTCCCAATCTTCTCATCTCAACAATTATTCCAAAAAATAAAATAAAATTGAACAACATAATAAAATGTTAAAATTCACCTCCAAAAGTACTCTATCTTTTGTACATCTGTGCAATCCCCCACCTCCCCATCCTGATCCACGGGCCACAGAGCTAGTTGGATGTCATCTAACCCCTATCTCCTTAGCTAACCTAACCACCTATGCCCCTCCTTCTCCTCCCTACCCCATCCGCAGCCTCCCCTTCCCTTGCGCAACTTTTTGTATTTCCTCCCCCACAAAAAATTGATGAAATTCCAACGGAAATATATTTAAATAGAATTCCAACAGCAATTCCAATGGATTTTTCAATGTTATTATTTCCGCTGGGATTTTTCAATGAATCCCAACGGAAATTCCAACATAAATATTCCGTTGGAATGAGTTTTCCATTGTAATTTTTGTTGGATTTTGACGATTCCAATAGTAGATTTTTCAACGGTGGCAGAAATAAAAATTCCAACGGATATTGCATATTCTGACGGAAATTCCTACGGTAAAAAGCCATTGGAAATATAGCTGTTGGAATCATCAAATTCCATCTAAAATTTCAATGAAAAATACACTCCAACGAATATTTTTGTTGGAATTTCCATTGGAATCATTCTAACGGAAGCTATACTATTGGAATATCTGTTGGAATTTCCATTGGAATATATTACCATAGGATTTTCCGTTGGAATATAACAATTTTTTTGTAGTGCCCGCACCATAGAGACCCGTACCAAGCCGGTACAGTGCAAAAAAAAAAATGCTATTTTTTTTAAATCATTATATTTTGTTCATTAAAGGTAATAATCTTTTCTAAATATTCCATTTTATAATAATTACTACTAATATTTGTTAATTATAATTTACACTAAGACGCATAAAAAAATTGTACTAAGCTTTTTTCAAGCTATTTATCTAAAAATAAGATTATCTTTTTATTTTTAACTCATTAAATGATTTATTTTAAATAAATAATTGATTTTAATGGCACAACAAACCACTTAAAATTGCATAAATAATTTTCAAAATAATAATAATAATTTAAATATTTTTTAATTAATTAATTATCATCATCCGTTAAATTTATAAAATTTATATTTTTCACTATATTTTATGCATTCTATATAGTGAACCATATGCAAGTAAAATAATTTATAATTATATTTTTATTTTTACTAATTATTAAACTTATTATATCTAACTTACGATTTTACATATAATATCCATATATACGATTTATAATATATTATTTGCATGTTCACATAATCGAGTAATAATAACTTTTCGAAAGAAAACAAACGTTAGGGTAACTGAACACTATCCTATTTGAACCATCAATCACAACTAACAAAAAAAAGCTCATTTTAATTCGCACAGTACAATCCACCCACCATGTATTAATTAAGTTTAATCCCATCACATGAAACAAAATGCCCATAGAGAGTGTTTGTACCATTTTTGTTATATTTTTCGTGCTTGTTTTGCTTTTCTTTTTTCCCATTTTAGGTCGTTTCTTTAGTTTCTAGTCTGTTTTGTGTTTTATTATGTGTTTTCCTTTATTTTGAGTCTTTAGGTGTTTTTCGTTTGTCTTTTCGGTTTCTTTTGTGTTTTGTCATTTGTGGTGTGTAGGTCGGGAGATTTGGGAGAATTTCCTCTTCAAGAGAAATTGGTTTCGAGAGCATAATTAAATAGATGGATTTGTTAGCTACGCGTAGGAAAAAACGGAACTCAATTCTGAGTTCGGACGAGCTCAAACGAGGCCAAAACGTAAGATGGTGCAGTGCAGCCCAGGTCGCAACCTGCGACCGCGCCCACGACCCGCGACCAGAGCCCCACGCCCAGGCCCAGACGCGCGCGACCCGTGACCCAAACTCGCGACTCGCGAAGAAAACAGAGAAGAATGCCCAGAATTTCACGACCCGCGAGCTATACCCGCGACCTGCCCCGCGCGCTCGCACGCCCTGTTGCCAGCCCAGCGACCGGGGCGACTACTCGCGAGTCACGACCGAGTCGGCCCTGTTTTTTATTTTACTCGTTTTTTCTCGTTTTAGTTCCGTTTTTCGAGCTCTATATATCAAAACGACCCCTCAGACCTAAGGAACAATCCCCAATATCGTTCCTTTCAATTTTTCTCTCCAAAAACTCAATATTGTTAGGATAATTTTCTCCGCTTTTCTGTTTTTTTTTCTCTCATGCTTGGATTATTGGACACAAAGATATTTGGATTGAAATCTTGCAACTCTTAATCCGATTGTAAGTTTTTCAATTCTATTTTATTATTGTTGATTGGTTTTATGTTCTTAATTCCGGTTAACATGAAATTGAATATAAGCATGAGGTAATCCATTCACCTAGGGTTAGGGGTTTTGATTCTTGTTTTGAATTATGAGGAATGTGTTTTGTTCAATCTATGCAAGTTGTGTGAATTATAGGGTTAGTTGATTGATCACCATTCTAACCTAGTTAATCGACATTTAGAACCGAGAGGGGAGACGTCGGTCGATTTAGGCTCGGATAGAGTAGACATGTTCGTAAAAGTATTGACTATGTGTTGCTTGTTTGAATGAGTTTATCGTTTATGTTTGTGCTCTTGTTACGAAGAGTTATTGAGCATAGCCCTCTAGACGTGTAGGCTTGTTAAATCTCATAACCGAACAAATAAGCGTTCAACATAGTTTAAGACTTGATGAGATTTCTTGACCCCTAGAACTTCTTCTTTTTCTCTAGAAATTTAATTGTTATTTCTTTTCTAGTTCTAGTTTGTTTTAGTTAATTTCCCAAATCAATCGTAATTAGAGTGTTTATGACTTATTTTCTTTTCGTGTGTGATCAAGACCAACGCTAAATTCCGAACCGTCTTCCTCGAGAGATCGACCCGGGGAATGAATCTTTTGATTCGGTACTCGGTAAAAAAATAAAATAATTTGCTACAACAGAGAGCTATTTAGGATAAACACACGATGAGTTTGTTGGATTAGATGAAAAAAAGCGATATGTATGCT